TATATATCTCAACCGTACAATTGTGCATTACTGAACCCAGAAGTAGTATTACTGAACCAGTGAGTTCTAGGACTGGGTGGGGCTGGCACCTCACCCCCCAGAGACAATTTTATTTAATACTACAATCCATAATGTAAACCTTTATTGTCAAGTGATTCCAACCCATGGCAACACTGTGTATGCCAGAATAGAACTGTTTCATAGGGGTGTCCTGACTGAACTATTTCTTAGAGCAGATACCCAGGCCTCTATTCCATGGCACTGCTTAGTGGATTCGAACCACGATCCTTCATTTCAGTGGCAGTGCACGAACTGATTGCCCCACATGGGGATCATGACGTGTATTCTGCATTTCTAACTGCTTTCATCTGTGTATTTTGTATACATCTTAAGTTTCATCTTGATCACTTAATTTGGAGGGAGTGTAAATTCTGTATTGGTTTTATTCTTTTAGTTTCTTATTTTAATTATAAAAAGTTCTTATTTTCATATTTCATCAGCTCTTCTTTAATCCCTTGTTGCCTGGAATTTATGCCTTCTTTAATTAGCAGCTCTTTGGAATTTTTTTTCTCTATTTCTAGCAATTTGTCTTTGTTTCTTTTTTTTTTGGTCTTTCTTTTAAGTATACTCTTCATATGCTTTCTGCAAGCTATATCTTTTTAATTAAATATTGGACCCGAATATATGCATGTGTTCTTTGCTTTTTAATTTTCTGCACAAACACACACACATATCTGCCCCATCTTTAATAATATTTGAAGGAAGGCAAACTCTTTTGGTGAAATCTCTTTGACTTTCCCAGCATTTGATAGTCTCCACTCCCCCCTTTCATCTCTTACTCAGTACCATTGAAACTTCTTTTTCAATGTGATGGGGCCCTGGTGGTGCTGTGGAATAAACGTTGGGCTGTGATTCAATCCCACCAGCTTCTCTCAGGGAGGAAGATGAAGCTGGCTGCTTCTGTGAAGATTTGCAGCCTCAGAAGATTTGTTACCCTGTAGGGTAACTACCAGTGGGAATCAACTAGACGGTGGGATTTGCGTCTGGTTTGGACTTTGAATTTGAACTACAGGAAGGAATTTGGAGCAATATACGACTACAGTTTTAATGCAACCTTTCCACACGTTACTGGAAAATTTGTAAACATCTTTTCTCTGGTGACAAGGGAAGACAGAGCAGGAGAAAGGAAGAGATAGTCACACTGTAGGGTGAGAGAGTACAGGGAAGAGAAAGAGTGTTATTGGAAATTTTTCTACAGTGACTGGTGATGTAACTACTTTGTGTCACCAAGAATTTCAGCAAAAATAATAAATTGTTCTTGCATGCCTTTGAAATTGAAGTGCATTTTATTCCTGAATATGATGACATGCAGAAACAAGCCTAAGGCAACAACTGAGCAACTCATGGAAGCCCAGTTAGGGAAAGGTTATAAAAAGAGCCCTCAGTGTTATTTCGGTGTTTATACAATTGATTTCAATTTAATCCATATCCTCTTCTTAAAAGAGAAATTGAGGTGGATCTGTAAATAAAGTCAGGCTTACATTGACGTTTGAATGGTTGATATCAGTTAGTAGATTGTGGAAAATGTATCCAGACATTTAACTTTGCTTAAAGTGTACTCTAGAAATATGTTTTACTGATACTTTAATGATTCATTTGTCTGGTTGCTTTCATAGAGAGAAACTTTTAATTTTAAGTGCTAGGGAGATGTGCTGAAATCTTATAATTTATTTAAGTAAGTCTCTAGCTTTGTAGGCAGCATGGTCTGGCATATTTCTGTCACTTGGTGACAAGAGACCTAACTTACAATTCTGTCATTTTGAAAAGTATATAATCCCCATATACAATAAAGCTATTTTTAAATGAAAGTGAATGAGTGGTTGCAAATATTTCAGGATTACTGATCTAAAAGTCACAGTAAGTACCTCAAACATTTCTTTGCAAGGCAAGGGCACCTTTGCAACACTGGTGGCTTTGATCTAAAATTAATGTCCTAAAAGTTGAGATTATTTCAAGCAATTTTTCTGTATTAATGAAGCAGTCTGATAGGTCAATCTGTTGTGAACCTGGCCACTTCTCGGTTGCTAATCGGAGTATCCTCCTGTGTCTCTTTCACTTTTATGTAAATTCACCGCTAAGGATAAAAATATTTCTAGAAGTCAGATATTTACCAGCAAGAGAAAAATAATACTGTCACACAGGTCTGATACACAATAGGTCTTAAAACATCGTAAGAAAAACCTTAGGATGGACTTGTTTATAATATATTTTATTTAATATGGTCGTGTTTAAACCATATAGGAAATTATATAAACTATTTTGTCATTGTGCATTGTGTTCTTTTGCCTATTAGTATTTTTAGCCAACTGTCATTTTGACTGACAGTGACCAGACATTTGGGATAACCTGAAAATGGAGGAAACGTATTTAAAGGCATAATCAGTGCTGTTAGCCCAACAAATGCATTTTAATAACTAATTCTCATGTTACACATCGGAATTCCCAGTGCACATTCTGTTGTATAAAAATGGTATGATCATTATGAAATAGCTGTTCAAAATATGTGAAACTCTTTAAGGTACAGAATGACCCATAGAGAGTGGTTGGTATTAAGCAGACTAAGGCTGGATTCAGATTTCTAGCAGGGTTTGCAGGCACTGGTGGTGCAAGCATCTTTAGGAAATGCGTCAGTGTTAGCACCTGTTCTTGATATGCCTTCCCCTCTCAGAGTTCTCTTTCAGCCTGTACATCTGTCATATTCCCTTCTCAGTACAAAACTGCCTCTGTTTCCTAATATTTGTCAGATTTTCAAATGATGACCACTGACAGTCATTTTCGATTTGCCCATTATGGCTCACAACACCCTGCTTATGTCCCAGGACTTTCCCGCTGGGCCTTACAGCCAGCATATCCCATCATCCGCACTCTCCTCACATTATGGCCAATCAGGCTTTCATTATGAGAGTGAGATCATCTTAAAGCAGATGACCACTAAAAACACCTTTCGGGAAATTGTATGATTATATCTGAGTAGGATTCTAAATAAATGTTGTGCTGCAGAGAGAAAATGTCCTTGAGAATGCCATGTGCATGTGTACCTCGACCCTGTCAGGCAAAGAGTGTCCGAAGAGGTGATCTTCACAGGAGCCAATGGTCACATCCTTCTCCCAATGAGGCACTGCTCGGCTTGGACTACTTGCCTTTTTGGCTAGTGGCGGGCTAGTTAATCAGTGTGGTATCACTGCTTATATACTATATTAGAATTACTGCCTGTAGATTAAGTTCTACAAACCTTTTAAAGTAGCTTGCATGAGTAGGGCTGGCTGACTTAAGGTGACCAGTATTGAGGGATCTCTAAAATAATAGGATGCATAAATTATTAGTATTATAGGAACACTCTTTCTGAGAGGGGGCAGAGGGCCCTTTAGGATTTTGTGCAAGTTTTATGAATGAAAGAGGCAAGAAGATGGCATACACTCAAGGATATTTTTAACAGAAAATCTCTACTCTTAGTTCACATTAGCAAGTTAGTTTAAAAGTTTCTCCTATGAAGAAGACTATAGAACTTCACACACACAAAATGCCATTTATTTGAGACTTTCTTGTGCTCCAGATTGTGGATGGATAGACAGATAGATAGATAGATAGATAGACAGACAGACAGATAGATAGATTATAGATATAGATATCCTCCTCATACTGCCATCCAGTCAATTTTGACTCAGTACACAAAATAATAGCAAACATTTTGAAAGGAAAAAAAAAGGCTTGATGTGCATGATAATGACCACATGATGAGATCATTTATAGATGCAAAATGAACATCTTTCTGTATCACATTGGAATACTGAAGTGCTTACTGTTGAACTCCATTTGGGTCCGCTGTTAGCAATTCAGTGATCTGGTCAATTGAGAGAAAATCAGGAGAAAGGATTTCCTCATGCTCATTGGATTCAGTATCCCTCTATAAGAAAAAGGTACCATTAGTTATTTCCATCATGTTTAATGTATTAATCCCACTGATATGAAAATTTGGTCTTTTGTGGTCTAGTTGCAGTCAGAAAAAAATGTAAATACAATCGAACTCTAGATAAGCGGTTTTTGTTTCCCATTTTATATAGTGGAAGCTCTCTTCTGAAGTGTCAAATGGTGAGCCAATCTGGTTTTGGAGCATATGTAATACCGGTTTTCAATTCAATAAGTATTTACCAAATTAATTACATATTTACCAAATTATTACATATTCCTCATTGATCTGGAGGCATATGAAATCCAGACTGCCATCAAGTGGATTTGGACTCATGTTGACCCTATATTTAGGGTTTCTGAGGCCATAAAAGTTTATGAGAATGAACAGCTCCATCCATCTCCCGAGGAGAGCTAGTGGGTTTGAACGTCGAACCTTGCAGTTAGCAACCCATTGCTTACCTGAGAGAGCCACCAGGGCTCCTCTGGAGGTACTAGAGGAGGCAAAGAAAACAAACACCACCACTGCCAACAAAAAATCATTAGAAATACTTGCTACTCTCAAGAAGTGATTTAAGAGCAAGAAAAGAAAATTATGTGGGACAAGGAAGCCATAGTCAATATGTCACTTAGCCTTAAAGAAAGGTCTTGGTTCAGAGACAGAACAAGAAGTCTATAGAGAAGTTACCCTTGTGAAACTCAGGGTGGATAATGTCCCAGGTTGATGAATTGGCAACAGCAAGGTTAGCAAGACAGGACAGCTGGGGTCTGGGGCTTATTTTCTAAATAGCAGACAGTCCACAGAGATGTACACATGTCTAGTGGGTCCTAGGTGGGAAATGGAGGCTGGGGATACATTATGGAAGATCTTAAATTTTAATAAGTACCAAGTACTTACAAACCAACCAATCAAACAAACTCACTGCAATCGAGTCGATCAGAACTCATAGTGACCTGTTGGAATAGGGCAGAGCTAGCTGTGTGGATTTCCAAGCGTCTAACTCTCTAATGGCGTAGAAGACCTCATCTTTCTCGGAAGGAGCAGCTGGTGGTTTTGAACTACTGACTTTGAAGTTAGCAGCCCAATGTGTAACCACTACACCTTCAGGGCTAATGTGCAAATATTTTAGATTGTGGTTCATTGAAGATTGTCAGGCTGAGGAGTTTGTTCTTAATAACACAGGTAATTGGAAATCGGTGAAATTTTTGAGCAGCAAAATGACACATTCAAGATTGTGTTTTAGGAAAGGTGAACTTGGCAGCAGGGTGAAATCAAGGCAGTAACAGAGAAAAGTAACTGGTAGAGTTCAATAAATAGGTTATTAAAATGTATCAGGAGAAAGGCATTTGCTTTTACTGGGTTCCTGACTATGTAGAATGTAGAATCACTGCAGATGAAACAATGTCTATATGAGGGACTAAAAGTGGGAAAGGGGTCCCTGGGAGGTACAAATGGTTAATGCCTTCCAGCTGTTAACCTGAAGGTAAAGGATTGAGTCTAGCCAGTTGTGTCTTGGGAGAAAGGCCTGGAGATATTTCCCTGAGTTGACTCTACGTCAATTCATTTATAAGAGGAAAGAATGAGCAAAGAGTCTGAAACAGCTGGCTGACAGACCTAGTGTTGGTTATCATGGTCTTTAATAAGATATATTGTATGTCCCTTTCTGTGAATTCAAAGACAGCATTCTCTCTGGGTGGAGGAAGTACTAAAAGGCTCCCAGGCCCAAGACAGACCTAGTCCTGTTCCTGAGTGCACCACTTGGGAATAGAGGTCAGTCCAAAGCCCACTCATGCCTCAGCTCATGCTTTTTAATCAGAGCATGATTTGCATAAAAACTGTAAGTGGTGGTCTAGTTACATCAACAGATATAGGAGTGTTGGAAGATGATGTTGTTCTTAAGAAAGCAAGATGATCAGTTTGGTTTTTAGTGGTTGGGCTTAAAGTGGAAGATGCATAGCAAAGAATAAGCACTTAGAAGTTATTGGAAATGCTGGGGTCAAATGTAAAGATGTCGGTGGGTGTAGGAGTCAACTCCAAGTGCAGCAATGAATGAAATTACCAGGGCACAAAGAGTAAAGCTTCGGATGAGAGAAGCAAGAATAGACTGGGAAATTGAGAGGAGAGGAAACTGCAGTGTCACAAAAATCAAAGATTAAGGACCCAAGGGGGAGGATCCATGGTAATATGCACCAAATAAGCCACACTGGCCCTAGTTCCTGGGCGCACCCTGGGGACACAGGCCAACTGCCAGAGAGATCCGATGTGGAAACTCCATTAGCTGAACTGGGGACTCTACCTCAAACACACCTGTAACCTGAGGACTTGAGAAATCATGGTGTTTGAAGAAGCAGGGTATTGAACTGTCAGTAGGCAGACAATCATTGACTTACTACATCAATGCCCTTTATGCTGCATTATGATATATATTATTCCGGAAAAACAGTGACTGACATTCTCAGTGAACATTATTATAATTTTTCTCTGACCACCAACTCTGGTTGTTTGTGTAGTGTCCAGCCACAAAAGGATTTATTCTGTACAAGTGAATAATTCAGGTATTGTCAAATGGAGTTAACCTCCATTTGCCCAATATCCCTCTCTTGATAGCATTGAAAAAATTAGTACCAGGGGCTAATCAATGACAATATTAACTGAAGATCTCCATGCTCCAGGGTGATGATCTCTGTACCATAAATTAACAAGGGTGTTTTTAAAGGAAGCCAAAGGCAGATTAATAAAAAACAAACAAAAAAACCAAAAACACAGATCCAAGAATGGGGTTTGGACTCACACTAAATCCCAGCTCTAATTTAAGAACTATTAGTTCTTACTTCCTGGCCCTGTTCAATACTTGCCCTCAGGAAGGGGACACAGAGGTATGGGTGAAGTCTAGTGAAGAAATTAGATAGTGCTCAGCTATCAGATAAAATAATGTCTGAGGTCTTAAAGGCTTGGTTCCCAAAAAAGTGAGATGTGAACTAACTCATCATGGAAAGGACACAGCAATATCAGTGATTAAAAGATTGCAACTCCTAAAACCCAAAACTGAAGGAGGGAATCGTATTGGAGCCTATTCTGGCTTACAGAAGTCTCTGGAAGACAGTGGGACCCCAAGCTACATTTGTAAGAGCTCCACAGGAAATGCGCCTCTGACTTCCCTCTGCCCACAACAGAGGGAGGGGCAGAAACTGGTCACAAACATAGAGCATTGGAGAGATGGCTACAGGAGATCAGAAGGATAAGTCTGACTTGAATGATTAAACCTTGTCAGTTTGTACCTCAACATTTTCTGTATTTTTCGTATTTTGTTTTCATATTGGGGTTGATCTCGGATGTATTTTGTCACTGGGGTAACTCTCTTGAGTTTTGTTCTATGTGTTTCAGCATATAAAACCCAGGATTGATGAACATATGAGTCAGCAAGTAGAATGATTCCTGGAAGGTGCAGTGAGGGAGGGGGTATAAACATGGAGCTAATATTAAGGAGTTCAAAGAAGAAGAGAATGTTTTAAAACTGACTGGATGCTTGATGTGATTAAATTATGGAATAATATGATATCTGTATTAGCTCCCAATAAAGTGGTTTTGAAATAAATAAAATGTAAATTAAAACAAAGCAAAACATTATGGGCCTGCAGGGAGAAGAGGTGAGTATTTTTTATCCTTCCATGTGAATGGGCTTCCCTAAATAAGGACAGCAAGAAAATGCTTTGCTATTGTTAACCAGACTGCATCCCAAATTTTATTTCCTTTTCCAGTCTGGGAAAACCCCAAACGTAATACTCATTGACAACAGTAATTGGCTTAATGTTTGTAACTTAATAGTAGGTTATCATTTATTTTTTTAAAATCCAGTTTAGAAATAACGTATGCTACTTATTAGCCATCTTTTTTAATATAGCATTAACAAATTAACCTAACCTAGGTCAGGCAATTTTATTTTAAACTCATTAAGGAGAAAAAATATTTTCATAGCTAATATAATATCTTGAACTTAGTAGGCACTGAGATGCATGTAAATTGAATCAAATACACTGTTTTATAAAAGGGTAGTTTATAGCTATACATTTGCTCCAATAGTTGTTGGTTACTGTGACAGTTACATAATCTACCGGCATCTTGAGGAAGGGGTGGAGTCTAGCCTGTCAATCAGATCATAGCCAATGATGCCTCTGTGTGGGCATGACCTCCTGAAGATTCTGGGAACTCCTGTCTTCCTCCCTGGAGCTGGAGGGACATACACACTCCCTGCTTGATATTCCTATTGACAAGCCACATGGAGCTACACTGAAGGAGCCAGAGCCTTGGAGCTGGAGGAGCCATGTGGAGACCCACCCCAGTGCTGAAATGCTTCCACCGCCACTGCTTTCACAAGACTTTCCACCCACTGGCCTGTGACCTTCCTACATTTGGCATCATTGCATGTGTTATGTGTGCCTGAAGAGGACTTTATAGACTAGTATTGGGCATATGGGCAAATGATAGAATTATGGCTTGATATGGACTGGGATAGGGTGTTTTCTTAATATAAAATTACTCGTTGATATAAAGCTCTTTCTTATACACATATGAGTGTCTATGAATTTGTTTCTCTAGTCTACCCAAACGAACACAGTTACATTTAAAAAATATATAATTAGCCCTGAGTATAATTATTCATGACCTGTTAATTCCATTAAGGGGTTCGGGGGAGCTGTAGGTTAGGCCTTGGGATGCTAACCTCAAGGTTGGTGGTTCACCAGTAATTGCAGGTGAGAGGTGAGGCTAGATTTACAGTCTTGGAAACACTCTATAAGGTTGCTTAGAGTCAGGATTAAATCGATGACAATGTGTAGATGGGCCAATTCCACTAGCTTATAAATTCCTCTAGGACAGCCGTTCATTCTTTCACTTTGTTTTAGAATTCCACAGGTCTCAGAATATCCAAGGAGCCTGGCGGGGGTGGGGGGGGGGGGCGGTGCCAGGTAAAAGGTGGAGTATTAACCACCAAGACAGTG